AGTTATTCAATCTATTGTTCTCGATATGCTTATTCAGAGAGGCGTATACACAAAACATTTTGGACACATCGTACTCTAACATCTCTTGTTGCATTATAGTCTACGGCGCATTACCTGACACCTTTCTGACTACAGTTACTGTTGTCTTTTCATCCACTTTTTTATTCAGTGGCATCTTGAACTTTGTCACTAAATATTCTCTTGTGCATATTCAAGGCACAGGCATTAGATTTCTGTCCAGGGATTATGTGGGCTTCATCTTCTGCTTTTCACCAATCAGGAAGCGGCATATCCACTTTTGAACAAATTCTCTGCAGCGCTTCCACGTTTGTTACCTGCTTCACACTTTAGTGTGTTGAATACTGTCGTAGCATCACAGGTATCTGACTTGCACTCTAATCCTTGGTGACGAGCACCTGATAGTCACTCAACTCACCTGCTTTAGTGATAATTGATGTGTGACCCTTTAAGTTGATCATCATACGGCGAAGACCGCGACTGACTTCGTGAATTTTCTACTTCTTCAGCGATAGTGGCTTCGGTCCCTCAAGTAGCACTCGGCTTGCTCTCTTCGTTTTGAAGATGGCGGGCATCTTCAGCTCTTCATTCACTGTTGTTGACTTGGATTATGCTGATAATATCGTCTTGCTTGGTGACGATCCACCCGTCGTCCAACTTGCATTAAACCGCTTGGCAATTGAAGCATCAAAGTACGGTATGTACTTTTCGCCATCCAAATGCAAGGCTCTCTTCCAAGACTGGCAGGTGCCTCTGCCTGCACTCACTCTTGCTGGTGAGACACTAGAGGTTGTTGAGAGCTTTGTCTACTTGGGAAGTTGCATCACTACTGGCGGGGCTGTTGGAGACGAGATTTCGATGCGCATCTCGAGAGCACGCCTCGCTTTTTCTAGGCTGAGGCATTTGTGGCGTTGCCACGACATTCATCTCTCCATCAAAGGGCGGGTCTATTGTGCAACTGTTTGTGCTGTACTGTTGTACGGATGCGAGACCTGGCCGATTCGTAAAGATGACTTGCGCAGGCTATCCGTCTTCGAGCAACGCTGTCTGCGGTCCGTTGCCCGTGTGTGGTGGCAACACCACGTAAGCAATGTGGAAGTTAGACAGCGTGTCTTGAGACGTGAAAGCCACTCGCTCGAGGAGCTCATCTCACTGCATCAGCTGCGGTGGTTTGGAAACGTATTGCGCATGCCTGTCCAGCGTTACCCCCGTCGTGCGTTGTTTGCAGTTGCTGGACAGGGCTGGAAGAGACGGTCTGGTGGACAGCCTACAACATGGAGAAGCCGCACGAAAAGCTGACGAAACAGTTGGTCTCGGCCGGTCGTTGTCGACTACCTAGTTGGGGTCTGAGAGATGCACATACTTGCTGGTTGAAGACTTCGGAAGCCATGGCTCAAGATCGATGTCAATGGCGGACGTGTGCATCTGCGTGCTGCGGTGTCCCTTCTTCCTCCCCTACAAAAGAACAAACTGAAAAAAATTCAAAAACTGTGTGTGGTAAAATAAGCAAAAAATGCTTTTGTTGCTGCTCTTTTTTATTATTATTACTGTTTTCCTATTCAGCCATGGTTCCGATGGCACAATATCTGTACCACAGATTGTGTATTATATGGTTGGCGGCATCCAGTTTCCGATTTGCCTGTCACTGTGGCCAGTCACAGGACGCCTGCGCCTAAAGAGGGACCATGAATGGCTTGCGCTGCACCACCCACAGCTCCATCCACACACCCCATATCCAGTGTAAACCCGAAGGAATAAGACCGGGAGGCATGCGGATGGGAGCCACGTTTCATCAACGGAGCCGGCCCACACTCCTTCACAGGCAAACACAAGCACCCTGTATTTGGGGAATCAAGCGCACACAAGACAGTGGCTGGACCGTAGTCTGCTCCACACTGAGTGCATGGAACCATTATTTGATCCTAACACGGCCACAAGAACCGTGCACCCCGTCCCCTCCAGCAACGACCAACTGTCTCCTGGAGCCAGTATGGACGAGGTAGTGGGTAATAGACAGGTAGGCACCTTGTCAACATGCATATCAAGCGCAGCCACACCGGGGATATCAAGCAACAGTCAATCACTTGAGAGAAAGCTAACAAACAAAAGAAATCGAGTAATGCATAAGGAAACGGTGACATAAATCTTAACTTAATGAGCATATGAAATAAGTTGTTAACAAAGGATCCGAGATAAGTTCAGGGTGTCAGAAAGTATATTTTACGGAAGTGACACAAACGCGAATATGTTATCGAAATTAACCACAGTTGGCTTAAGCGACCTGTGCAAGTTTATAGAGGAGCGTACAGGTGGACATTTATTTAGAAAGAAAAGCATTAGGACAAAATTGAAAACCCACCACCTGAAATAAAGAGACTTAGCATTGAAGCACGCGGTTAGTAAATCGAATGCAGCGTACCTATAAACGCTGTGCTGGTTCTGCCTACGTTCTCTGCAGGACCCGTCCTCGCTTCGGTAGTGGTCCCGAGTGGCCTCGCTCATGGCTCACTAAGCCTGCCTGACTCAGGCACTCGCGACCGCATGTGTTACAGCACCATGCGCTTGATGTCGATGGAGAACAACCCATCGGTGCTTGCCGCTTCCGCACTTGCCGCTTCTTCTCTGCATGCATGAGGGCTTTCTCCTGCACCTCGGCAACTGCCTTCGTGATCAGATCGCGCCATGCACGCCGATCAACCGCCTTCGATTCCCATGAGCTGCAATCAAGATTAGAACGTGAGAGGCTCACTTTGATCATGTCCTGGTATCGTAACTTTGGTTTCCCCACGTGCCGCTTCCTTATACTCAGCTGACCTTATAAGAGTTGCTTCGGTATCCGCCTTGAATCCATACGGCTCACATGACCGATCCACCTCAGGTGTCTCAGGAAAAGTATGCAGTCCACTGCATACATCCCACTACGGCGCAACACTTCCGTGTCTGCAACTCTGTCGCCCCAAGTGATACGCAAAATCCGTCGCAAACACTGCTGATGGAACCGCTCGAGATATCGCACATCCCGCCAGTACATCGTCCACGTTTCACTGCCGTATAGAAGAACAGACAACACTATGGATTTGTACACCATCAGCTTCGTGCCAATGCTAAGCTGATGGTTGTTCCACACTCGGTACTCAAGCTTCCCGAACGCCGCCGCTGCCTTCGACACGCGGATACGAAGTTCACTGTGAAGCTGCTGATCAGTCGACATCACACTCCCAAGGTAGCTGAAGCGGGAGGTGGTTTCCAATACTTCAGCAGCAATGCTGATTCGCGGCAATATTGAAGATTGCACCTCCGGTGAAGGCTGAAAGAGACAGAGAGTTTTGCTTGTGTTGATGGTGAGTCCGAATTTGGCCGCTGTCGAAGCCGGAGCATTAGTCATATGCTGCAGCTCATCCGCACTGTGTGAAAACAACGCACATTCGTTAGCAAACAGCAACATACGGATATTTGTCTCATAGACTAGGGTTCTCGCACGGAAACGACGGATGTTCAACAAACCATCCTCAATACGGTGCTCCACACGAACACCGTAAGCACAAGACATCATTGCATGAAGATATATATTAAACAGGGCAGGAGCTAAGACACAGCCTTGCTTCACATCAGTGACAACTGCAAAGTCATCTGAGGTCTCTCCACTCAGCTGCACCCTCGCTCGCATACCACTGTGCAGACATTCAGTTAAACTTACAAACTTACACGGGCAACCAAACTTACCCAACACCAGTCACAATGCCTCGCGGTTCACGGTATCAAATGCCTTGGTGAAATCAACAAAAAGCGAGTACAATGGCTGGTGTCGTTCTCTGCATTTCTCCTGCAACTGACGAGCCGCAAACACCATAGCTATAGTGCTGCGACCCGAACGGAATCCACACTGCTCTTCCGCCGCGTTCGGTTCCACAACCTGACTGACGAGGCGGTTGAGCAGGATTCGGGCAATCACCTTGCCCACACAACTCAGCAAGTTGATGCCACGATAATTCGTGCAACATTGCTCGCTCCCTTTACCCTTGTACAGTGGTAGCACAAGGGCATCCTTTAGCTCAGGAGGCACCTCCTCCTCAATCCATACACGTTGCACCAAGTGGTGTTACCGACGGACAATTGTTCTTATCACTTGATATTGTCGTGTCCGTTACAGTGATGCAAGGGAGCTTACTTAGTTACGATGGTGGGCTTAGTTCACTGGGTCAGCAATTAAGACCGAAAACATGTTGACTTAAGCGTGTGCTGCTTATGACCCCCTGAAAATGAGGGCCTTGCCTTACTTTATCCTAGGAGTTGAGGAAGGACAATCATTGAGCTGTCAGCGGATGATGAAAGCGCACTCCCACGTCTTCCATGATACTTGTCTGTTTCACTTGGATTGGGGCCCACGCTGTCTGGCTCAGAATACATCTGAATATGTTTGTATACATCACTGCTACCCTTACTCCGCTGTTCGTGCCGAAAGTGTATGGTGCTGAGTTATGGGGCATTGAATGCCATATAGAAGCTTTCTCGGCGATACCACTCGGCCCTCACACGGAAACCGGTTTTTGTAAATGCGCGTTAGTACATGGTTTGTCCATCCTGCTCACGAGCCTTTGGTTAAGACGTTCGGGTGTTTCTTCACTCATTGTTCTCAGGGCTATCCATATCTTACGGTTGTGTAGCAACGAAGTACCAGCTTCAGTTAATTTTTTGTACTGTTGTTAATTATATGACTGCTAACATGGGTGCTGGGCTGTCCTTTACTTCTAGGGTACTGTTTCAGCGTCTGTACTTCTTATCCGTAACCCCCGTGTCCCGCTCTGGCTCTTCCCCACTGAATTCGAAACAAATAAAACTGGTCATAGTGCTCGCTGTTTGCAGTGACTTTGTTCATTTACTGGTTGGTTTTTTAACCATCTCGAGTACTTGTTGACTCACGTCAGGTTATTTATTTATTTATTTCACATCAAGTTAACTACGTGCTATTTCTCCCGTTACTAAAGGCAAATGAAAGGAGCGGGAGATTTGTGATGGTGATACCACCTCCAAATGTAACCGGAACTCTGCATTTGGGCCACGCATTGACCAACAGTATTGAGGATGCTATTACCCGTTGGAACAGGATGAGCGGCAGGTGTACCTTGTGGCTACCTGGTTGTGATCATGCGGGTATAGCTACTCAGGTTGGTTTACTTGTATTTTGAGTACACTGTTTTTCATCTTCATTCAAGACCCTTATGTCCTCAGGGACTGGTCAGGTACTAACTTCTAAGTCGATCCTGTCTCACAGTCTTTCATGCTCTCAAGTTGAGTAGAAAGTATCTTTTTCGGCTAGATGCCAAGCACGCTCTATTCAGTAGGTAAGTTGTTGAGTATATTAAAATTCCTATTTGGCTTAATACAGTCTAACCTACTATGGCGACCAATTAAAAACATCAACCTTTCCTAAGAGTTCTGACCCTCTGCATGAACCTGTCCATGGCGACCACCTGTCCAATGCGACCACTTCTTCTCAATCCCTTGAGTGATCGTCTTAGACAGATTTGACTGTAGTACTAACGACGTGATGCAAAACTGTCTATTCACTTCGAAACACCCACTTATCGCATTTTTTAGTCGAATGGTTGCCGGCATCCGGTTCCGGATTCGCCTGTCACTGTGGCTTCCACAAGACAGCCACAAGACGCCTGTGCCTACAGAGGGACCATGGGTGACTTGCGCTGCACCACCTCCATCTGCACACCCCATATCCATTGTAAACCCGAAGGAATAAGACCCGGAGGCATGTGGATGGGAGCCATGTTCCATCAACGGAGCGGGCCCACACTCCTTCAACATGCACAGCAGCATTCCTCACTTTCTATGCGGGGAATCATGCGTACCATACGTACACAATGCGGCAGCTCGGCCGTAGTCCGCTCCACACTAGATGGAACCTTTCTTGGGCCTAGCACGGCCACGAGGACCGTGCACCCCGTCCCGCCCAGCAACGATTCACAGTCTCCTGGAGCCAGCAATCCAGATGGAGGGTGTTAGACAGGTAGACATCTTGTCAACATTCACATCAAGCGCAGCCACATCGGTGGTATAAAACAACCAATATAGAGTTTAAGGGAAATCAAACACGCAAACTTAGCACAGAATATGCAGCGAAATAACTGAATTGGATAAACCAAATGAAGTGGAATGACTTTATCCTGATTAAAAAGACTTAGTTTAAGTGTAAATTGGTTTAGTCCAACTGCGGTGAAGAAGCATCATGAATGCAACATCAACCACAGCATGAGTCAAATACTACATACCAAACATACATGAGTTCAGTTTACTTTCAAAACATATTGTTCTTATTTGCCTTGAATAGCGTCACTGTGATGACAAATGACTGTCCACTTTGGGGATAAAACAAGAAGGCAAATTAATCAGCTGTAACAGTTGAGGTGAGGGAAACGTCCGATTAAATGACTAGCAATTTTGAAGCAAGAGACCGAGTTTTAGATTATCAGTGACTTCTCGACTGCGTCACGTCAATCGGGGGAACTGTTCGCTAATGTGATCGAGCTTGTATCCACCTCCAAGGACCGTTCGGTCATGCTATCGTTTTCTCCATCCTAATCGACCGATTTGGCACCCTGAGAGTTTACTCAACACTGTACGGCTTAGACTGGCAAAGCAAGCTATGGTAGACGACCAACGGGGGAAATTATGACTTCGCCGCTTCAGGCGGTTTAATTTCAACGGATAACTTAGTATTGCACTACTGGGTCTGTTGACAGCTTCTAGCTCGCATTCATCAGCGTCACGGTGTCAATGCTCCCACTGGTGAACATGGACAAGGCTTAGTAGGCACTGGCGGTTCGTGACGAATATTTCCTTTATGTTTTCCATGCGCTGCTACTGTAACCTTTACTATATTGCTTCTGACTGCGCAGTGACCTTTTACACCCTACTCCTGACTTGTAGTTTGGTATTCCGCTTTCAAAGCCGATTGGGTTTTTAAATGGCCACCGGGTCGTTACCAAACCCAACGTAGCATCGCTGTCGAGATGCCACAGCTACTTAGGTAAACGAATTGGTCCGTCTATACCAACGGTTTCTTGGTCATGACTGAAATTGTCTGTGATACTTGACGCTCCAAAGTAAATCATGGTACAACTTGAGCTAATTTCACTCCACTGCTTCAATTATTTGACATTGTCGTTGAGATTCCGTCACAACCAGGCACGGTGAGACATTAACCACATATCTAGAATGCGCTGGACAACCGTTTCATCCCATTGTGATGACGAGTCAGCGGCACCTATCCACCAGACGTTACTGGGTTCATGCCGATGATCGTGCTCTGACGATCCAGCGACTTAAGCCACTGAACCATGGATGCCATTAGCGAATCGTCATGACAGTCTACTAGCTGGAAAATATCGCAACTCACCCTCCCTATCATTCACGTTATTGCCGTTCACGGGACTTAACTAGCTGTGAGGGTCACGACTCGCTCGGTAGGGCTTCAGTTATCTTGTGATTATAATCCAGTTCGGACGATTACTGATCGGCCTGAACCTCGACATCAGCTGTTTGGCTTGCCCAAGAACGTCATAGCCCGGAACTTGTTCTCCACATGTGGGTTGAGTCGCTAGTGTTCATTGTAATAACTTTCATTGATAGTGGACATTTGATCGCGAATCGCATCCAGATGCTCCCACACGAACACTCGAATTTTTTAGTGCCGGTTGACAAGAGGCGGGGTTCCGTCCCTTCACTGTAGTCTCCCTAAGTTGGTAATTCCTTGATCTACCTCCAAGTCGAACCTTGCGCTAACCAGTCTATTTTCCACAGAGGTTAAGCTTCAGGTCTGTTGTTATCATTAATGAAATCGTTGAAAGAAGGGACAAACTACATACAAGTTGACTTTACTATCGAAGCGTCGAACGTAGCACTGAAGCACGCTGTAGTTAGTCAAGCGCGCGATTTTTATGTCGGTAGTTCCTTTCTTTCTTAGCACCCTTCTTACAGTGTTCTTTATGATACAGTTCTGTGGAGCAATACAGTCTCCTATCCCCACTGTTTACCTATGAGCACTAAGTTCTCCAACTTGTTTCATCAGCCCATCGCATAAGTTATGAGCTCAAAATAATGCCATGAGTAACAGGGCTAGTTCCGCGATGGTTTCGGACTAGAATGGGAGCAAATTTCCAATATTCAGAGCCTCCGTTAACGGTCTACGCTTTGGACAAGTATGGATGACACCACTTACTTCTTCTGTCATCTAAAAAGTATCACCTGCATAGATAACCTACTCTACGCTTGCTCCTCGGGACTTAACGGCTCTCCGGTTCAAGATGGATGAAAGTGTGTATATAAGGTAGCCGTAAGTTCTGTCTTCGCGGTCTTTCGCTGGCGAAGGTTTTTCGTAAGCTCTTACCCCCCAGTGCGACACCGCAGTGACATACTATCGCTCATCGTTTCAATATCGTCCTTCCGTCAACAAAATCACAAAATTCGTGTTTGATGGACGCCACAAGGCGTATGGAGTCATCAATGTTATCACTGCATTTTGGTGCACTATTGATGAGTAGTATGTAGACGTGAGGAGATTAGAGAGATGTTGAATCGCTGCATACGAAGGTCGCGTAGTGCACAAATCAACCACCACAGATACGTTGTCGATGAAGGTGCGCAGTGGAACAGGGGGGGGGGTCGGAACGTCACCACAAAGGAAGTGCGCAAATATACTTGACTTCTCTGTGCGTTCGAACTATTATGCCATCTAGACGTGCATTCTCTGATACACGACTTGTCTGCATTGTGTCGCGTTATAAGATAGTCACACTCTTTTGTATGTTGGTTTTTTATTAAGCACTATTTTTAATGACAGGATTTCAAGCTGGCGCATTACCTAGTGAAATCTAGTCGCACTTAAATGACCTGTTTTCGATAGACATTCCTTTATCTGACAAACTAGCTGCAGACCGTATTACTTAGGCAAGATACACCTTCACAAATATCCGCCATCTTTGAAATCGACGCCACATTGTCCCATTCAAAATATGACCTTTATGATGCCATTGATCATCCGAAACTCAGTTTCGTGATCAGTGCCCAAGTGTAACCTATTCTCCACCATCGATGAATCAGTACTATGTAAATGTGATTCTAAACCACAGAGTTTGCGACATGCTGCTGACTGTCGCTTTTTCATTTAAGCGAAATAGAGCACACTTCGCGCGACTTGCCCTCCACTGCGCATTATTTTAGCAGTTTAGGTGAGCTCATCCGCCAACAATAGTGACTACAGATAATAGCAACTTAAGGACTTTAAATGATCCCACTTCAAAAAACTGCCGCCTCAATGACTCAGGTCTCATATGCGATTGTTTTTCTTTATTGCTCTTACGTTCTCTGCCACCTGTTTTTATGATAACTTGGGAGAGAACAAAGCCGAAACCCATAACTTTTCCACCTACCAGTGTTAAATCGAAAACAGTTGAAATCAGTTGCCTTCTAAGTATTCTTGATTTCGAGGATAGGGTTGACCGAGGCGCTCTAAACGAATCGTGCATTTCATCCACCCAGTGTTTTTATGCTTATTGTACATGATTTGAGGAGTATATTGTGTCGCCTTCGTTTTTTGCTATGAATCCCGCCTTGCAGGTCGTGGTCGAGAAGAAACTGTGGCGCGAAAAGAAATTGACTCGTCATGACCTGGGTCGTGATGCTTTCATCGAAGAAATTTGGAAGTGGAAGGAGGAGTGAGTGCTTGTTTCTGAATCTCAGCGGCAGGACTTTGAAAGTGTAGTATTCTTAGTGTATCAGAATAACACCGCGTAAGCAATGAATATCCGTAAGTGGGAGAAGAGAAAGAACTGTAGGCAAGATCATTTATTGTGGAATTCAGATGCAACAGGAGTACGGAAAGTAGAAATCAAGTAGGCACTGAATTCGCACACACAGTGGTCGTAAAGCACAATCGCCTCAGCCAATGGCACGTATTGGGACGGTCACCCACTCCGTAGTACTCAGACAGTCATTCGTAGTCACATGCTGCTGGAGTAATATATCACGTCCAGCATGGTGAACTGGATGTCGGACATGAACAGCGTAGATGCAGTGTCAGTTACCTAGGTACTTCTAGATCACACGACACAGATGAATCGTTGCAAGCCTGGGTACGCGGCAGCTAACAAATGCGCTCAAACTATCACAAAGGATTGAATTCTTTCCATCATCCTGTCTATTAGAATAGCGATTTTGAAGTTGTAATCTTCCGATTCGTCTACTGCGACAAATGTTGAAAGGGATCTCGAACGATTGCGGAACTCGTGCTTTCAAAGACGTGTGAGCACAACCGATTGATATATTTCCCCTGCATATGTGTTTGATGTCGGACGCAGGCGCTTCAACGGGTCACGTACACACCCATAATTGGTTTGACCTCGTGAGTTATAAGAGATGGCAATCGCGATCACTTAGGTAGAAGCCACGTACGGAAAGAGCCATGTATCTTGCTTGCTCAGGAGCTCTCCGTCAGCAAGGATCGCTCAGTTGTTGCCTGCACTCGTTATTGGGAATTCGTGTACCACTGCATATCCCCGACGGTGATTACAGTAGCAGTTAGACTACTCAGCCATAAGATTTGCGGAGATAGGATCTAGAAATGAAAAATACTACCACATTATTATGAAAAACTAATGGCCAACTAAGTCAGACAACAGAAGTCATTTTTCATGTATCACGACCATACCGATAATCACCGCGTCGATGGGGTTGAGTGGATCTGGTTTTGGAGGCTCTATTGCGCAGGAAATATCTGGAATTATGATTCCAGTGCTGATAGTACAATGGGAGAACATTTGTTTCCAAGCGATTTTCAAACAAATTCAACTCTGTTACTTTTTGTAGCTGGCTAGTCTTACGTCATTCAATCCTTTACAGCATTCGCGCATTACATTTGGGACTGTGAAAAGTTTTGCGTTTTAGTTCGAAATGGCAGCTCCAGCTACGAGTTGACTGACAGAACCAGGAGAGAGTATTCCACATGGTACCCGCTGCCTCAGCATAGCGCTAGTAGTGGCGGTGTTGATGGTCCTTGCTCTTTCTCCTGTGTTCACCCACGCTCTAGGTGAATGAGTCCTGGTACCTGCATATTCGAGTCCCCCTTAGGATCCCAACCAGCGTTCAACCGCTTGCTATATGACGACGAGAAGTCGATACACTGTACTGGTGGACTGCTGGTGCCTTTTCCTATTCTGCATGATGCGCAACCAAATACCCTGTTTGGGTTATGTGTTCACGCTCATTCGCAGACCGGAATATACGCTTTTCGCACTTAGCAACCCTCGTAACCAGCTCAAATAATGTTTGACTAATATACGTTTATGAGCCCTATTTACAGGTAATTTTGTAGATGTGGTTGGTTGTCTTTTCTGCAGCAAGGAATTGCTTTAATCGCGCTAGCATTAAGCGATTCTTCTGGGAAATCCTTTTTACCTAAACCATGTTCCAGCTGCTTCTAGCACCCGGTCTTTTCTATGAACTTTCTACTCTTCGTATCCCTTCTATAATCTACAGTGGACGGGAGTCCACTAGTTTTTTGTCAGCCAGATATACATTGTGCTGCTGGGTCCATTTCCTGTAGGAGTACAATACCAAAATTGACAACTCGACTTGTGCCGGCCCGAGGTCACAAGTTCGAGCCTGCGCAGGGGACCAGACGACCTTCGCAGTATCCGTATCTTACGCGCGACTGGTGGTGCTTGCGCGGCAAAGAAGTGTCGGTACTTCGTACCGATGTACTGCTGATGCGTTCGCCTTACAATCTGTAGCCACAACTACCCTCTGGTTCTTGTCTCTAATCGGAGTTATCGCCTTTAACTACCATGTGATGTCACACCAATGATGTGCCAGCTTATCCAGCCAGCTGCAGCTCTTGTGCCAGAGGCAATGCACCGCTCAAAGCACATTTAATATTTTGCGTCGCCCATTTAAACTTATTTCCTGAATGACTTTTCCCAGAGAATAGATATTTCTTGCTTGCGGCCAGAATGCTTCGAGCTTTCACATCAGTTGCTCTATGATCTCGCATATGACATCCTTCGCCAATGTAAATTTTCTCACTCAGGTCATCATCTTGTTGTCAAGTGCTTGTATACGTCTACTGGGCTTCGCATACCTGATTACTATGGTTAGATAACTGCTCTTTTATTTTAGACTTTGTATGGGTAACATTTTCTCACGAAAACTCATCTGTTTTGTGCTCTCTGATATGTTTGTGTCGCTAGTGTCTCAGCACTTTATTGATTTGCACAGATAGTTTCGAAACTTTCGCTCTTCAACTGATTCGACAAGTGTTCATCTTCCTTTGCACCCCTTTTGTAATTGCTTCCTGTAGGTTTGGTTTGCTAGGCAGCGAGCGGATTGTTGCAAATATTTTAAGTGAGCAGGTGATTGCTCCGTGTAACCATCCTTTTGCCATTGGGTAATCTTATTGGTTGCGCACTGTGCCACTGGGTTTTCCTTCAATTGTTAACACAGAAGCTTTTCAGGATCGTTAGCCAATTGCCGACATTCAGTCGTAGCCGCTTTTCGTCGTGATCGCACAGTATTCGATTGGGCATTGGCAGTTTGGCAACACCACACGCGCATGTATGTCTAAATTTACTTGGTGTATCACTTGTGCAGCATGTGAGGCAAAGCTAAGGATTTTTTCATTGAGATCACTTTGTCAGTACTTGCATCAATGAACCTTAATACAGTACTACTGATCATGATTCCGCTGCTCCACAGAAAAGGCGATTGCATTTACGGACAACTTCGGGCGCTCGGGAGTTCCTGTGATTGGTCTCGTGCTCGCTTTACAATGGAACCAAGCATGTGTCGGGCTGTGACTGAGGCCTTCTGTCGCTTGCATGAACAAGGTTTGATCTACCGCAGCCTCCGTCTTGTGAACTGGTCTTGTACCCTGCGCTCTGCTATTTCTGACATCGAAGTAGATAAGGTTGAACTCAGTGGCCGAACTCTCCTTCATGTGCCTGGATATGACAAACCGGTCCCCTTTGGCGTGATCACTTCTTTTGCATATCCCCTCGTTCCCCGTAAGTGAATCATACAGTGCCTGTTGTGTTTTACTCTTTGCATTGTAGTCCATTTCATTTGCACATACGTTCCTGGTTACAGAACCGGATGATCCCCCAGAAGGAGTGCATCTCATCGTCGCAACCACTCGTTTGGAAACCATGCTGGGTGATACGGGTGTTGCAGTGCATCCTGACGATCCTCGATACACCCATCTCATTGGTCGCTCTATCAGACATCCGTTCATCCCAGGCCGTGTGTTGCCAATTGTTGGCGATACTTTTGTTGATCGGGAATTCGGCACAGGCGCCGTCAAACTAACTCCTGCTCATGACCACAATGATTGGGAAGCTGGTTGTCGGCACAACTTACCGGCTATCACCGTAATCGATGAAGAGGGCAATATGACCGATGCAGCTGGACCAGAATTTGCAGGTTAGGTATTGAAGCCACTTCAAGTCAGCCATAGTTATTTTCTTTAAATCGTCTAAGCAGCATTAAGGCTGCGATTGACGCGTGATTATATCGCATTCATATTCGACGTATGCGATTGTCGCTAAATGTATCTCGTTCAGTTCAGTATGTCGACCATGGTCTAACTACAACAACGTAACGGATGTAATTACCATTATCTATATCACAATAATATTTTTGTCAGTATCAACAGCAAGTAAAGAAAATTTGAGGGATGTCTCATAAATACTGCCAACAATTTGGAAGGCATGGGATGAGGAAAGAAAAATATCCATTGGACTAAACTGTCAGCCTAACGTTTTAGCACTATTGACTTCTCGAATGAGGTATTTTGTTTGAGTTCTCTAACAGATGATGTGATCAGTCTCGTGAGACTTCTATCCAGGAAAGCGCCATGCACCAGGTTGGCGAAATATTCGTCTAGTTTTAACTACGCTTTTCGATATCCATTCAAATCTGTCTAAGGCGGCTACTCAAAGGACTGACAAAAGGTGATCGCCATAGACAGGTTCATGCATAAGAGCATTATTCATAGGAGAAAACTTTGGGGGTATTTTTGGCTGTTCGCCGTAAACAGGTAAATTGTCTCTTTTATCGGCTAGCTCGGAGCTTCACACATAAGTACCATCATTGTGTGTCTATATTCCATATGTACGTTTCACTGCTGTGCAGTCGCAAACGGGCAAGGTCACTACTGGTGCACCCCAATTCATGCGGCCGGGAGCAATTCGGATCCGAGATGTAGAGATTGCGGGCCAAATGCCAGAGCACATACACCCCGGTATCGGTTCACAGTGCATACGAAAGGGAGTGATTGGCGGACATTTAACGAAAGTAGCCCACCCAAATGAACCGGTTGGGTCACAATGGGTGGGTTCCTGCGGCGTCCCATTTGTTACCGACTGTCAGCTACCGGGCCTCACAACATCGCTGATTTATTTTACACTGCGTAAGAAACGATGATCTTCAGTGGTCTGCGTCTGACACACACGGCACCATACTGCTAGATTGTACGCTCCGCTTCTTATCTACAGAACACGCTGCTTTCATGGCGAATGTGCCTTTGCGAAATCACAGAACTTCTGAATATTAAATAATGTTTCAACACTTCTAGCACTGTGAATTGGACTATGTGCTCCTGGATGTGAGCAATGATGAAATCGATGCCCATTTGCTCGAAGCGTACTTCGCGGGCTCAGAGATCATTAGGGCACCAGGTTTGATAACGACACATCATCAGAGTCCCTTTAACCTCGTGATTACAACTACGGCATGTGGCTTTATCGATCGCCTAATGGAGGCTTCGGCAGTTGTTCACCGCTGATGTTTCATTCCACTTTTTCTCTTCTCACGCGCATTCCGGATACTTTGTCAACAGTGATTTTATTAGTCAGCTTGTGTCAGAACATTGTTAGTTGATTCTCAGGACGCATCTTCCTGAACTACCAATCGATTAGCTGCTCTGCCACCACCTTTGTTCCCTGTTTCATGACCACCATATTTTCAAAACCGCTACTAGTCAGACTCATGCATCTCCTGTATGTCACAGTTACCAGACTTCTAGCGACCATTTTAAAGTTGTTTTGAAACACACTACCACCGTGTGCGACGTGCCTCTGCTGCTTGTACACTCCTCAACTAGACACTAGTGCACATCAGGTAATTCCATCTCCACATCAGCGTTGGCTTTGATCTATTTCTTGCTATCCGCCTCGTTGATTGAGGTCGTACTATACCCTACATTTTAATAGTTCCGAGTTCATTGTCTAGGGTACAGATTTCCCTATCTATTGGCCTCCGTCATTCCACTGGTCGCAGGTCTCAAGCGCTTCCACGCCCGCGAAGCAGTCCGTCTTGGCCTCCAAAAGCTTGGTTTGTATCGTGGTGAAGTGGACAACCCTATGACGGTGCCCATGTGTTCGCGAAGCAAAGATATAATCGAGCCGCTCTTGAAGCCACAGTGGTACATGAGATGTCAAGAAATGGCCGATGAAGCGATCAGAGAGGTTCGTTATGCACACCTGTTCTGTTTACATCACAAGTTTTGTCCGCATTATGTAATACAAGTATGAAACGCTCAAAGTTGTCATAAAGTGCTTTCGATGGCATGACGATTGCTTTTGTTTCACCGTTGCTATCCACTTTGTATAGGTTGCCGAAGGTCGGCTACGTATACTACCCGAGATGCATATTCGTACGTGGAACAACTGGCTCAAAGACTGCCACGATTGGTGCATTTCTCGTCAACTCTGGTGGGGTCATCGAGTTCCTGCCTATCACGTTTCCCTCTTAAAAGAAAATACGGAAGAATCCCTGGATGTAAGTTTCCTCTACCTCGCTGAAAAGTAAAATGGTTCACTCTGTTCCGGTGGTGTATGGAGTGAATGGGCAAACACTTTCGTTTTGGTAGTCGGTGGTACCCTTTTTCTGATTCTCATCTCACTGTGGTTGGCCGTAAACTGCGACCGGATAGTTGCGCTTACAGAAAGACCAAGGGTAACATGCAACGCATCACCCACACATCTATATTCAGTGTATACTAAAGGAAATGCGACCAGAAAACATGCGAAAATGTGGGCCACTACTGACTTGAGTCCTGCGCACATCTCATCGACGTGTTCCCGCAGTGTATTTCGGCACTGTTCTACTCATTTCCTTACCGTGAATATGCCGGTATTATTTTCTGTCTCTGCTAATGACGATTTCAGCGATACAGTGACTCCTCCAAATAGCGAAATCCATTCGCCTGCGATGCTGCTGTACATCATCAACTGTTCAGGGCAAATAGCCCTAGGGATTCATCTTGACTGCGAAAGTGTACAAATACGGTGTGTATCATAATGCCACTCTTTCGTTAGTGTGACATTCGTACTATCCTTCCATATACACTAGGTAATTCGCCTTGGACCCTGGTACTGGAAGCGATTCCAGTTCGCACCGAGTTAATTAATCGATCTTCTCAATTTTGTCCGTCGCAATCTAGCTCCAGTTAAAAGCATCCGGTAGCAATTCGCGGTCCTACTGTTTTTAAGACATTTTCCATGTATATTTGCAGCCTTCCTTAAATTCGTCCTGGGTCGTCGGTCGCACCGAAGAGGAAGCCTTGGAGAGAGCAACCAGACAGTTCGGCTGTACGGCGAATCAGCTTCGGTTAACTCAAGACACCGACGTTTTGGACACCTGGTTCTCTTCTCAGCTGTTCCCTTTCTCCGTGTTCGGTTGGCCGGATGAGACCGCTGATTTCAAAGCATATTATCCCGGTGATTTACTGGAGACAGGACATGACATTATGTTCTTCTGGGTCGCGCGGATGGTAATGATTGGACTTCGTCTTACCGGAAAACTACCTTTCCACACTGTTTACCTACATGCCATGGTCCGGGATGCACACGGTAAGAAAATGAGCAAATCTCTCGGGAATGCCATTGACCCGGTAGACGTAATCCACGGAATAACTTTAGACGGTGAGTTTTGTCGCCCTTTTTGCTATCTTGAGTGCCCTTGAGATCCATGGCTTTCCTGTTGGTACCGATGGTTTTTCACCGTCAATTCAGTTCATTATACCAACTTCGATCCGTACATCGAGGCGTATAGGATCATGTTTCCTTGACATTACTCGCAAGAATAATAATATAAACGATCATAAAATGAACGTGTAAGGATTAGAATCGCCAGATGGAATGATGAAAAGTCAAGTGAAGGAACAGATACAAGAATGCCAACAATTCCTTGGGTGCGCTGTATTCGCTGCTGTGTCCGACTATGGATGTGGTCGGTTTTGCGGATGCGACGCATGCGCTCATGTGTTACTTTTTCAGTCTATCTGCACCGATTATATGGACACCTAAGCAAAATCTGACTGAATTTTTTCCCTATTATGCGGCCATTTTAAGTGCTTCGGTAGTCCACTGTCAGTGTGGATGTGAGAAGGTGCTCGTCCAGCCAGTGACTGTCAAATCGTATCGCCGGCTTATCCATCATTAATTCAGAGCTCGTTCGCTTTATGTGTGAGTGGTCTGCCCGACAGTACCGCAGCTGTTACCAAGCCCTGTTCATGTGTGGTATAGATGCTGCGGTTCCGTTCATTCGTGTTGAATTATGTATCGAGCGCATCAACGTTTCTTTATTCCGGTCACCTTACAAGCTTCCGCACCAATCCTTCGCCCTACGCCGTTAGTATCGAGGCCCTCTTTCTTTTCTCTCATTGTTTTCTATGCATGCAGCCCTACAAAAACAGTTGGAGCTTGGCAACCTGGATCCCCGCGAATTAAAGCGAGCGCGAGAGGCGCAAGCCAAAGATTTCCCCAAAGGCATTCCGGAGTGTGGAACAGATGCGCTACGTTTTGCGCTATGCTCCTACACGAAGCAGGGGCGAAATATCAATCTAGACATATTGCGCGTTCAAGGGTATCGTTTCTTTTGCAATAAGTTATGGAATGCTACCAGGTGAGTTCCGTTTATCTAACACCCTCCAACCAGACTCAGCCACTCACTGAGACTAGCCAATACCTGCTGACTTGAATGTTTTTATCAGTTGTGTTCAACTCCATACTTTGGTTCGAGCACCAAAGTACGTTGGGTACATTTTCAGCATGCCGGATACAGGAAAACAACAAGCGGAAGAGGATAAAGTAATGGACCTAATCTCTCCGGTAGAGAGGTTACCAGCAAAAATGAAGGTTGAAGGTTCGTCAACAAGAAGAGCGTCCTTTACTTCCTGATAGTAAAACGTCGATGGTCTCTAACCATTAGTATAAACTGTCCCGTGATTTCTGTCCAGTATGTAGGTATGCCGATTCGATCTTCCGGTAAATTTCTTCATGCTAGCCACCTACCATGAGCCATCACCCAATCAGTCACTAGGTGGCCGACAGGCGTTTGAGGATTGCGACCTAGTCAGTGTAGACCATTCATGTGAAAAAGACGGTCTTGTGTAGACCCGGAGGATTTAATACCGAACACCAACTGGTGGACTTTGGCATTACACACCCTGTGGTCTCATCAGGCATGCACAACGCTCAAATTTCACCGGTGCTCAGCGATCACCAGTTTCTTGACATCTTAGCTCGCAGTGGCTCTACCCCTTGCTTATCGATTAACACGCCATCGTCAACAGTGGCATATCAGTACTTTGTACAAGTATGAAAGGTATAAACACCCTGCCAATTAGTACAGTGTTAATTGAGAAGGGAATCTGATGTAAGGTAGAAGTGGCCGAAGCACACATTCAGGCCCAAGGTGATTACACCTTGTCAACACAAACGGTCAAAAACAGCTGACCATCGTGTGAATATGAGCTATCTTTGGGGCGACGTCCATGTATCTTTCTCCACCCCGAGTCATTATCAACTTTACTGCACGGCTAACTGCGCAACGGGCACACTTTGGACAGTTAGTCTGACTAAGAGATAATATTAAGCACACCACCGGTGCCGTTTGCTGGCCATGCCCTGTACTGTTTGGAGTTAGACACAGTCGTCCGCATGGGTTCCAGTCCGAGAAGCCTCCGTATTTATAGTCGTTGACATCATTTCCCGTTGTCAGGCTAGTAATTGCCTCAAGGAGCTTAGCGTCATCTCAGATGAATTAAACATGACTTCTTTGACGGATTTATGTTATGCGTCCCCATTCTAAAGTCCAAAAGAACATTGCTTTCTGAAATGGAGTTGTTTCGGTGTTGCTCCTCCCAACCCTGTCAGTATTGAGAAGAGCAACACCGAAACACCTCCATTTCGGATGATACAGTCCTTTTGGTCAGAATGGCCGAGGTCTACTTCAAAGTGAACCGAGATCTCAACAGAGATTGCGTGTCGCAACACAACCATACGGCGGGTACTCCAAATCCAACTTTGTACGTTGATTTCCCGCATCAGATGGATTATTCCCACTAGACGACTCAGTAACCCTATACCCCTCTAGTTCCCTCAACTATAATACGTTCCTCGCGTTTTAGACCGCTATGCTCTCAAACGAGTATCGTTATTTATTCGCCTCATTTGCATGCAGTTTATGTCTCAAGGTCACGTTTTCATCAGTCTGCTACTAACATTACTGTTACGGTTATCCGTTTCTGCCCGATGCTCGCACATTGCAAACCTAGTCGTGAGTACTGTCTTGTACATTAGAATCACGGTTACAGAATGGTATCACAAGCTCTTCCGTACCGACAGCTTTTTGCTCAGATCGTGCGTGTAGTGTAGTATTATTTATGTACATTCAGTGCGACGTAATTAGATTTGGTGCAGTTCTGTTGTTACACCCAGGCCAGCGAAACTCATCCGGTCTTAGTGGAGTCCATTTTGAAGGGCGCGTTGTGTGAATGAATTGCGGTACGTAATTTCCGTCGATACCGCGATTCACTTCACAGTGAACTTTGGTCATTTTGGTCGCTAGGAACGCGCACTTCAGCAAATGAATAAGTTGCCTGCTTGCAACAATACACCTCACTGCCGGTTTTCGCACTCGCTTGCACTGGTTAGGCAGAGATAGCATGCGCAATTCAGCCATGCTTTAAACCGCTGGGACTCAGTGGCTGGAGTCTGAATGACCCGCCTTCTGCTTCGCTCGAGACTTTACAAGACATGGCTCGCAGTCAACACCAGTGGCGTGACTTCTGTTGTCTCCTAGTCGGATTGCTTGTTTAAAATGTGTTTGTTGCTGAGTTATCTGCGGGGTAATGGCTGATTATGACGCGGGGAAGTGAAAGCCGCAAGGAAGCTGTCTCGCCGATGCCGCCTTATCTTTGCACGATAGCCAGCTGTTTGTGACAGTATGTTGTTAACACAAGGTGTAGGTGCCTTGACCCTGGGTGTTTGCTTAAAACATCATGGTTTTATGCTAGGTCCCTATTCTCTGCCTCATTACTTTTCGTTCTATGGTCACCGTGATTTTACGGTAGTCTACCAATATGTGCTACCGACGTAACCAAGCCAAACGTAATGGATTTGCACAGATCGTTAATTAGCCTTTCAATTGGTTAACAAAATATACTAACGGGAATTTTGCCGCAGAATTTTCGGAGGAGGGGGAATTCCACTACACTGAAAGGTGGGCTGCTATCACGAACATAGCGTTCGCCATCCAGCATTCTTATAAATAAACACATGTTCTCGACTATGCGACGCACGCCCACGGATCATATAGGGACACCTGTACAGGCGCTTTATGGCAGTTGTAACAGTGACAATCGAAAGTTATTCAGACGTTCATGATTGAAACTGTACAGGTGGTACAAATGTAAAAATGAATACATTTGTGTGTGTCGTGAGATCGGGGCACGTTTGTATGAACATAATCAGTCTGCCATACATTGCAGTAATACATCAGCCACGAATAGATCAGGAATTACGGTTGATCAGTTAGAATGGAACTGATGAAGGGTAGGATCAACACTGATGTGACGATACCCTGCGTTCATGTCAGTGTAACGTAAGGTGAAGTTCTAGAATGAGATGTGGTGACGGAATATGTAGATGGGGTAGCGTCAGTGTAGTGTGCGTATCAAAAATGGTGAAATGTGACGCTGGTCGACTTGCCCGTGTAAAGCCATGGGCTGACTTTATTCGGTGTCGAGTCACATCCGCCACATCGCAGTGTTGTTAAACGGACATTTGTGTTTTATATACGGGAGAACGCTTGTCAGGCAATAACCCACCACGTCCAAATGTGAAGACACATAATCATCATTACACATCAGCCGAAGGTTAGAAACGCAACACCTAAAGATAGGGCATACGAAAAAACAAGATACTGAAAATTATAGAACGCACAAATACGGACTACTTAGTAGTAACATATTGTGCGTCAAGAGAGTAATCGTGGTTGGTGGGGGAAGATAAGCGGACAAAGAAACTCACAACACTAACGCCATTGGAGTGGGCTCCTCGCGATATCAACTAGTGTCTGCAACGAAACGTGTTCATCGTCCTTCGGACCCCAGCCAGGCAGCCGAGACACACCAACCGACGCCAACTTCAAAGTGAGGGACCTCATTTCTCTTGACCAAGTCATCGCTTGACCACCCTCCTCCTCTCCCATCCACACCCCAGGAGCGCAAGCAATGCACGACGCGAGAGTCGATGGGCTAACATGCGCATCGGACCCTGGTGCGGGATATAATGGTGCTGGGCGGTTCACTCGCTATTCTTGCACCAAATACACGACGCCGAACACGTTCATTGCTCACGAGGTGCTCCCACTGGACATGAGCTGAGCTGCGAAGACAGCGATGATGGAACGTGACTAGCCTCTTTATGTCTGTCGACTTGATTGGCCTAGTTTTACAACCATATAATAAGGTTGAACGAACTGCTGCATTGTAAACTCTGCCCTTCAGGGTGAGAGTGATATCGCGCCGGCGCCACGGGTGACGGAGATTTGCAAAAGCGCCTCGAGCTTTTGCTATGCGGTTTGTGATCTCATCTACAATTCCGCTGGCGCTGATCTAGCTGCCTAGATACTTGAATTTCTCGATGACTTGCAGCTGATCCCCACGAAGGGTCAGCGCAGGGGCGGATCCTTGCAATCTTCGAGAAGGATTTTGCATTTCGAGAGTGCAAAGCATAACCCAAAACGATTGACAGCCATTGCTCATTTGTCCACTGCTGCTTCGCACGTTTGTAAGCTGTCACAGATAAGGGTAATGTCGTCGGCATACTCCGAGTCAAGAAGTTGATCACCTGGAAACAGCTCCACGCCTTGCAGATAGTGTCCAGTTAATGCAGTTTCCATGATCTTGTCGATGGCGAATTTAAAAAGGAAAGGTGTTAGCGGGCATCCTTGTCTCACACCGGTAGAGATATTGAATGGCGGCGACAGCTTGCCGTAAGACCTCACTCTGCCCGAACTGTGCGCGTACAGTGCCTTTTGACGTTTACATATTTCTCGGGCAAACCTTTCCCCAGTAAGCAGTTCCAAAGGGTACACCGGCCAGCCAAATCGAGGAAAATGACTACGGTGGCTCGCCAATAAATATGGCGGTGCTCCAACAATTGCCGTAGTGTGAAAATGTGGTCAATGCACTGCGACTTCGATGAAAACTGACTTGATCCTCGCGAATTCGGCTTTCACGTGTGCTACGAAGTCTATAACGAAAGACAGGGACGCGCATCTTAGAAGCAGTTGAGATCAGACCGACCCCTCCATGATTGCTGCATTCAGGACGTGAGCCTACTTGAAAATTGGGACTATTATCGAGCAGCTCCAGTCTGCTAGGACATTTTCTTGCTCCCACAGTTATGCAGATCATATACAAGTGCAGGTCCCCCGAATTTGAAGAGAGCTGATTGGATTCTAACTGCTCCTGTGGCCTTATTTATTTTCAACCGGCTGATCTCACGAGAAGGCGGGTCCAGGGGGACGGCCCAAGGAGAAGTATGATCAATGGCCTAAGGAGAAGCTGATAACTATTTGATTAGGCTGCTTTTCAAAGTGTTCGGTCCAATGCTCCAAGTGTTTTGATAAACTGTTGATGGGCAGTCCATTCTCATCACATGTGGTTTCGCTAACACCAGGTCTTTTTCTGCCCGTTTCGAGCATCAAACGGAATAACTTCCGATCGTTACCAGGAGCAGCGGCCATTTCCATCTCCGATGCATGACGAGACCACCACGCCTCGCGGTCTCTCTTCAGGGTAGCACGCAGTTTCGACCTGAGATCTTTGCGAGCCTCGTGCTCGCCTCCCAGCC